TGATTGGACACAGCAAATTGGATATTAGTAAATATCAGGTACGCGTAGCCTAACGTGGACACCACTGGACAAGTGTCCCAATTATGTAAGCTATGCTAACGCACGCAGTCAATGAATTCTTGCATTATACCCCGGCCACATGGCAAAATTATTGTAATTTAGATCGAATGACATTATGGGGTCGGCAAATCGGTTCGCGACCCTCGAATTATAGTCACTCAGCGTTTCGAGCTGATTCAATACCATACTACCATTTAATGAAAATATATTAACTTTCCCGTGTGGCAAGGGAACTAAACGTACTATTTACAGTGAACTAATCCACTTCCCTTTATGGGCTCGAGCTGCTATAGAAAAAAATATCATTCATTTTTTATTCAATAATACTATTACCCTAATACAGCTAGAACTATAGTATAAACGCATTAGAGGCAATACTATAGCATTAGCATAAATAAACACACAAGCACAAGCAACGCATTTTCAATGATCGCACATAAACTTGTTATTCACCTTCCAGAGAAAACTTGAATATTACCAGTCATTATTTACCAATAGCGACGCAATTGCACATGGGTAACGACGAAAAACAAGATTCCATTCTATCACGTGACCAGAGCAACCGATTGCAGCACTCTACTTGCGTCCTACATGAATAACAAAGCCCGTAAATAAGTTATTTCTCACCTGTCGATCGTATTCCTACGTCCCGCAATATCCGCCACGAAAATACTTGAACAGGAACTCAATGAACTCTCGCTCCCTGTCAAGGGAGAGAGCCCTATCGATAATTGACGAGTGTGATATTTGACTAGTGGCCGCACATGTCACTCACACCGTAGCAGGACCGCGAATCCAAGTGAATGCCGTAGCATCAAGAGAACACAAAAGAACCACACACGAGAGCAGCGGCATAAGTGTGGGAGGAAAGTAATGATCTTGTGGATTGTGTTTTTGGCACGGCCGGCGGAGATAAGAAATTTTTTACCACCGCCGGCCGTAGCCGTTCTCCTGTGTCTGAGGCCGCCGCTGCCGTTCGCTGCAGTCCCGGTGTGTGTCTCCTGGTTGGCCGCATCGAAAACAACGGGGCGTGGCCCGCCGCCCACCCGTCGGCTTCGTGCTGTGTCCCGCTCTTTCTTGCCTCTCCCAAGCTCCGCGTTACCGGTTCAGAGGACAAGAACTCATCTTGACCAATGGAGGGGCTGTAGCGTTGTGAATGTATGCCCTCATAACCACTGCACGTCCGTGATTCGTATGCAGGAGGATCTAGGGCTCGGGGGCAGACGCCCGATTGGAATCGTCTTGTTCTCTCTCGACTTTGTGTACACGTGCGTTTCCAGACCACGCAAACGATGGTTCCAGAGTCATGTTCTGCGGTGGAGGGGGCGGTATCTTAGTTTTGCAAAAATGTCGGCCTGGATGGTAATCGCCTCCCGTGCCGTCTCGTCTAAATTCTTAAAGGTGCGTCCCCTGAGATGTGGATGGATACGCGGGTGGCTTTGGCGGATGGCGCGTTGTATTTTCTCCGCCTCTGGTGCCGCGGCGTCGGCGATAATGTACAGTCCCTGGAGAACCCTTACAAACTCAATGAGTGACTCTTCCGGGTTCTGTGTGCGCGCGCGCAGCTCGTCTTTAATCCCCATGCTGTAATCCCGAGGGAGGATCTCAGTCCTAAATCGCGCCTCAAAATCCGACATACTTGTGAATGTAGTTTGTCTCTGCCTCCACAATGGTGCACTGTCTGTCAGTGCAACCGGCAAAAGGCGGTTGAGGATGGTTTCCTCGACAATTCCCGACGCAGCTTGGTACTTCCGCAGTTCCGAGACGAACATCGCGACTGACTTTCTATATGCGTACCCCGAAAAAACCGGAACGCTAAGCGAGAGCCTTAGGTAGTCCCTCGGGGTCGTGCTTCCAGCTGGAGTGGGGCTTGAGCGCATCATTTACTCTCGTTGTATCTGAAAAAGCATGGTGATGGCCACTCTTAGTTCTGCTAGACCACCGTCTGATGATGCCTCGGCCAGGACTGAGACTGCAGGCTTAACGTCTGGTTTTATGTCGCTGGCGGCGTTATCCGCGAGTGCACCGAGCGTCAAAAGGTCGTCCTCACTCACGTTTTTGTCGGCGTCCACTCTAGACGGCATCGTGTTGTAGTGGAGGCTTCCGCTGGTCAATGAACTTAGGCTTGCGAAGAAACGGCCCCTCAAATGTGGGCAAACACAGGAACGCGAAATTGTCTATGTAAAAAGGAAGAACGAACCCAGTTCACGGCCATTCTCCCAGACGAGCAGCATATCACGTCTGGACGCCAGTGTGGCATTTCCCTTGCTGCAACCCGTCTCGGAGTATGACGCAGCACACCGGTTCAACAACACGTAAATGTTTAATGACCGTTATCACCTGCGCCGCGATCCCAACCGCCCCCGCGCATACGCTGCGACGGCCCTCTATCAGCGGCGGAGCGCCGCTCGCGTGGCCAGTTGCCCTCGGCCCCCTCGTGGTCAAGATGATTACTCATGATTGTCGGAGGGGTGACATGTGCCAAAAGCTTGGAGTCCCCAGTTTGCCCATAAGGTGTGGGATGAAAGTAACCAAAGGCTTAACGTTTTAGCGTCGTCGACACATCTATTGCTCGTTGGCGCTCCCTGTGGTGGTGACAGGGTTTTTTCGGTTCTCTTCTCTTAAATGTATCGGAGTTCCTTTTCACCCATTCCGCAGCTCAGACACAACGTAAGTTTACCAGAATTGGGGCACGTAGGAAGGAAGAAATTATCGTCACCGGAGACAGTTCATTGTAAATGTGTGGGGAGCTGCGAGACGGGACTGTGGTACCACAGTTATGGGATAATCATCTATTTCGATATGGTGCTTTCAACCTTGGTAACGCGTTGTGTATTACGTTTATATTATATATAGAATAAGTTATACAAGCTGCGCATTCAAAACACTAACTGCTCACGAACGAACCACTTGACATGAGTGAGCAGACGACGCGGCAAAGAGAACCAGAGTGGGCGCCTTTTCTCGACGTGGCCTCCCGCCACTGTGACGTCACAGCTCAGAGCGTTACGGCCTTCATGGAGATGTTGACCCACCGCCCTTTCCTGCCGTCGCCTCCTTCTCTCTCCCAATGACTCCCTCCGCCTTCCCTCTTTCTACCCCGCTTCCCACCGGTCCCTGCCTTAATCTTTCCATCCCTCTCTCCTTCCTCCTCACTTACCTCTCCTCCCTCCCTCATCCTCTCTTTTTCGTCGGCGCCCTCTTACAGTGCGACCACCACGAGCAGGCCCGTCCGCTTAGCCCCATCAAGGGCAATTCCACCTTCATTGCACCTCCAAGGCACACTGACTTTTTGCTGTATGAACACAAACCTATGTGTTGCGTTTTTAATGCGGTAACGTTAGATGGCTCGTTTTTACGAATACCCGGCGGCGCCTTTCGTTTGTCAGCGCCGGGGAAAGACGGAAAAGGAGGGGGAGAGTGTGAAGCGTGCGACGCTCCCATTGGTTCGATGAGCTGAAGTCAGCACGCGTCAACCTCTCCCTCTCTCCCCGGCGCGACACACTGACAGACACCACCTGGATTTTGTCAAAACGAGCCCAATCGCTTTCGGCAAAGTCTCCAGCACAGCTGGAGCGGAACTAGACAGGAAGATGAGCCGCGCAATATTTCTTAGATAACGAAGCGGCAGCGCTGAATGAGATGGTGAAATCACAGGACCCTTATGGGCATGACATGCACGTCATATCTCCTAATTCTGTAACCACATTTCTTGTTTCTGGTTCTCTTCGATTAGAATTTTAAAGGCCTCCTGCTCCTTTACCTTTCTTGATGTGGAGCACTCCGGAGAAAGCCTTCAATGCCTGCAGGAGTGCATACCCGTGTCTCTTCTGCTCGCCGACGAAGTCCTCTACAGCCAGGTATTCGACCGTCTTGCTCAAGGCTGGCTCACACACATGCGACTGCGTACGACCGAGTTCCTTACAACATCTTGAGATACCTCATGGAAAGAGATCACACTAGCTCCATTTCTTGGGTGGCCGCGGAACTCTTGCAATGTTTGGTAAATTTCTTATTTCAACGGATATTATTCTTTTTTGATTTGCTTGAAACACTTTTCGCAAGATTACATCGAACTATTTCCAATAGATAATTCCTACATTTGATCCCGCAAACATTTTGTTCACTCGCCGTAGGAGATTGCGAAAAGTGAGTGTTAAGCAAATGCAGTGCGCAAACCAGCCTTAAGAGTGGAGGACAAGCTCCTCTTACAACGCCCTTCGCGCTTTCCGCATTACAGGAGCGAACGCTAAAGAGGAGGCGGGTCCATCTTCTCCTCCTCTCCAGCCTTCGCTCTCTTAAATAGGAAAGAGTGGAGGGCTTTGTCGGAGGAGGTTGTCCTAACTGCACTCGTAACTTGTCACAGATTAAAGGTATACAGTACTGTCTGGTTAATATGGACACCTCAGTTCCCTCAGAAAGTGTCCATAGCACGAGGTGCACGTAATAACAAAGCAAAAATGTAAGTATTTTCTCACTTCGTTCTAGAAAATAGTGTTCTAGAAACGGGGGCCCCGGTGCTATGAATGTCCCGAGCAGCCTGGGGAGTGTCACTGGGCATGCGCAATGCGACGCCCCAAACGGTATGGGGGCCCAAGGGCTAGGGCCCCCAAATCAAAAAATTCCTAATGTGGTCTATATAGCGAGGTGTCCATATTAATGGGGACTGTACTAATTATACATGATCGTAATTGAATTAGCAAACATTTTATACGACTTATTTGATTGATACATTTTTGTTTCCAAAAGTCCTTTTTTTATTCCAATGCCGGGCAACATCGTTTAAAAGTCGAACATCATCTTTTGCCAAATGTTCGAAAGGTAGCCGAATCAGTCGAGCCTTGAGGTATGCCGTCGAACCTCGGGTTAGAACCTCGGGTTCAACCGAAGTTCGCAGCATCCCTGTTGAGACATAATAACTCACAGTTTCCAACTTTCAGAGCCCGTTGTCAAAGAGCGGCTCATGGAAAGTCCTAGGAAAGGTTCTCAACCAGACCCATGTCCTCGCAAAGTGTCTCGGCACCGTGACTGACACTAAGGCTTCAGAAAAATCGGCGGATCCGGAGATGGCTTGCACAATGTGGACTTCGGGATCAACTGGAGACCCAAAGACGGTGCAGGTGCCCCACTCTTGCATCGTACCAAACGTGCTTGACTTCAGGTACCCTCCCATCTCAATACTTTCTTTATAGAGTGTTGTTTTTACTGATTGATTGAGTAAGCGATTAAGATGAAGAAGCATTAAGAGTGTAGAAATGATTACCACAAACGCCGGCGACTTTTTTTTAGATTCCCAAAGAAAACACATTCTCAAAATACTCAGGTTTTGATATTCCCGACATGCTATGCATTATCTCTAAATTCAAAGTAGCTAAAGAAAAAAAAGGCAAATGAAGGTAATGAAAAAACTAATATTGAAATCTTCCCAGGCTCTCTATCGGAGCCACGCCGCGCGATGCCTAACTTGCAAGTCGAGCAGGCGGCCTCACAAAAGCAGTATTTCGCGCGTTTTGTTCATTCATTCACACATTCATTCATTGTTTATTTCTTTATTTGTTCCTGCGGATTTGGTTCGCAGAGGGGGCTTAAGGCAAAAAGAGGTAAGCTGACAAGGCCTTAGCCCCCTCTTGGCGTACAACACGTGACATAAGAACAAAATGCACACAAGACAAACACTTTCAGTATGAGTTATAAAAGTCTATACAGAAAGCACAAATAAGCACGAAAAATGTCATACTAGTGTACGAGTCATACTAGCGTACAATAACTTTTTCTTTAATATTGTTCTGCAATTAAAAAAAATTAAAGTGCAAACAATTATACGTAAGTGTTCAACAGAAATATGAATTGAAATTAAAACACAAAGAAGTATAGAAGAAAATAGCATCTAAACAATAAAAAAAAATCTCTACACCTAAGTGAAAAGCACACATAGAAGTATGAGCAAGTTTACGATATAATCTGAGAGGCACAAAAGTTACTCAGAAACCTTCAGCTGTTTATAAATTCAAATAGCATACGGCACTCGATGCAATAAACATTTCCAGTAGAGTGAAAATCACAAAACAAGATTAACAGAAAACAAAATCACTGGCAGCAAGATACTTTAAAATATATCGTTTAAACTGGGGTATAGACACTTGATAATCAGTTTCGAATTCTTTGCAACTTAGGAAGGTTGTGATTTGAAAAGTGAAACTTTGTCGCTCATAGTTTCTTCTTATACTAGGTAATTTGCGTTTCGGACACTGTTATACACTGCCGATTCTTCATCATCTGGTGTCAGGTAGGATTTATTTTTATGGATTATTTGCAGCAGTTGCAAATAATATATCAGATTGAGCTTCAGCATACTATGTTTAAGAAAAAGTAGATCAGTGCTCAAGTTTCTATCATTTCAGATCTAGTTTTCGTTCAGTTTGGTTAATAACTTATTTCAATTTAAAGTGGTTCTCGTGTGGTTGTCGCCGTTAAAGTGTTTGGATCCATGGGGAACGCCATGCAGTATTTTCTATCTTGGAGGATGTTCCTTTATTGACAGTGACAAATGGATAACGATCAGGCAAATAACGCTTTATTAGTGTTAGCGTTACTCCACAAATGCCATATTTCTCAAGCTTCCTCAATCTTATTTCGAGCTGCACTGTATAAAAAGCCTTGTTTACGTCAAGAACGATTCCCAGTGTATCATTTATTTTCAATGTTCGAAATTATTTTATCTTTGATGCCAAGAAGAGCTTGCTCTGTAGAACTATGTTTTTGAAATTCATAGTCGCCTAAGATTATGACATTTTTTTTTAATAAATGAACCTTCAAGCCTATTATTTATGATGGTCCCAAATATTTTTTTTAAATATATACAAAACCGAAACATGCCTTTTGATTGCTCGTTAAAGCAAGTAAAAAAAAATAACGAGAAAAATATTGCTTCGTTCGTGAATTCTAGCTATCACAAAACGCCTGGACTTGTGTGTAACCTTTTTTTCATAATTTATCTGTACTCGCTACTAACACGTTTGAACAAGCTCGAGTGAAGGTGACCTTTGCTAAAATTGAGATCGGTAAGATATCTTGCACTCAGACCGATGTCTGCTCATAACGGAAAATTTGTTTCCCGCCAAACTTGTTTCGAAATTATGCTAAAGAAAACTCCCTTGTGCGTTAAATAGAACGTTGTAGATTACGTTCCCGCATTTCTTAACTCGACCATGACGTCAATTGGTATTCGGTTTTAAGGGGTGGAGAAAAACTATTAAACCAAACTTGGTGGCTCGAGTTCTCACCGTTCTGACGACGTCTACTCAGCTCTGTTAATGCACAGTAACATAGCTAATACATCATAAAAAACGCTGTGTTCGCCAAACAACACGATTATAGAATTAGTATCTGTGCACAGGACTCAGGCATGTTTGAAGCATGTGCGCTCCAAACATGTCTAAAGAACGTGTTGTTATGACCGGCGGTCTTACGAACTTTTTTCCTCGCGATCTTTCATGTTTCTGTTTTAAAAACCAAATGCTGTCTCTGCAGGAAGATTTTCAACATCACGCCGGAGGACGTCATTTGCGGGACGTGTCCTCTGAGCTTCGATCCCATTGTGATACAAATCTTCTTGGCGTTGACATCGGGAGCGACCCTACTCCTCCCGTCCGATGTTATCGGGGAGACACCTTCAGAGATTGTTAAACTTGTGAAGGCCCACAAAGTTAGCTTCCTGCAGGTAAATATGCCTTTTCTGATGATTGCTGCGTAGAGGTGCGCAGCAGTCATCTGCTACGCACCTCTACGCATGGAATCCATAGTCTCCGAGCAAAAACAAAGGACAGGCACAACTAAACACGAGACAAGCGCTCTTACTTTCACTAAGCTGAGAAGAAAAATGTCGTAAAAAGAAGACTCGTATGGAACATTGACGAAAATGGTAAGTCTTAACACATCCGTGTTCATCATCATTTAGTTTTTTAGCCTAGAGAAGCTTAGTTTGTGAACACTTTCCAATTTATTAAAAATATTAAAGTAAAACTAAAGCCGTTATCTCTAAATGAAGAGATGCAGTGTACAATGCTACTGCAAAGTTAAGATTGAACTACTTGCAGTTGTTGAAAAAATATTGGATCACGAAAACGGGATTGGTTCGCAAAATCTTGACGTCACGGACACGCTTAGACGCGATTGACTTTGCTTTGCTGGCGGAAGATTGCCATTCACATTAAGGGGCATTTTCCACTCCGTCATTGAGTCGTTACCGACTCTAGGTGGCGATGCTTGTATCCACAACTGATGACGTTTGGGAGGGAAGGCCCAGCCTTGTCTTCTGGCTAGTGTTGGGTGAACACACCAGTGTGGGGTGCCCTCGAGGCACAATAGATGTAATGCTTGAATCGAGCATAAAGCGGCAAGGCAGCGTTCGGTTATGCGCGAGTCCCGGTCAGGCTGTCAGCATCAGCGTGGTAACGTCTGAAAGAAGCAAAAATGCGTAAATTATAAAAAATGCAGCTTGCTCTTTTAGTCTTATTTAAGCAGTAAGGATGTTTTTCTTCTAGCTTTCTTTCTCGGCGCAATATTTATGTCAACCAATATGACCAATAAAATCCTGCGTGTTTAGCGTGCGCGAGCAACGTGACAAAGCGTAACTATGCACAGTTAAAACGCGACCAAACTCACTTTTCTATTTTGCTCACCAGAGATACTACCCAAACTTGAAAGCAGAACGGCAGTATCGCGATACAAATGTATCGCAATAGCCTCTTGCACATACTTTTGAGTATCTGCATCTCTGCATCGAGAAACATTTGAGAAATGTATTTTTATCTCAACGGTGAAGTACTTTTACGAGGTATGAATTTTCTCGCGATACTTAGCCAGGCGTAATTATTTCGATGCATTTCTTGTCAAAAATTTACTGGTGCAAAGGGTTCTAGAATTTCAAACTTTGTCATATGAAACCGCCACATAACATCACCTTAAAGAGTGTGTTTGTGTGGGAGTGGGGGGGGGGGGCAGAGATTGCCTTGCACATTGCACAGAGGAATCAACAAACTTGAAGAAAAAAAATTCATTCGAAGAAAGATCAGTTGGCTCAGTCGTTTTTCGCAGGTATCTCATTTCCTGTAGATTCCGTGTGCCCGCTTTCTTGTTCAATATCTTTTTCTCGCCCTCCCCCATCCCCCTTTCCAGGGTTACTCGGAAGAACTTAAGACCAAAGTTTACGACACACCCTAGCATTTCAAAGTTACCGGACAAAATAAAAATATGAATATTCCAAATAGGAAAGGAGGCAAAGCAGGGCTCATTTGGAGCAAAACACGTCCATGTCTTCTACGACTCCGGAGAAAATGATTCCTCGTCTTATTAGCAAAATCAGAACACAAAGTTGTGAGGGCGGAAGTTTTTCGCTACCTTGTCGAACACCAGAAATTGAGACTAGATGCTCCAGCATTTCCCTTCCATCAAGGTGGTATTTACACATTTCGGCGCCGGTAGAGAGACTTTTTTTCCCGCTAGTTTGTTATTGCGACGAAATCGTCGGTGCCGTGGTGATATGCTCTTTGAATTATGCTACTCATGCTGTAGTGTAAGCAGTTCACTTTCAAAGTTAGCGAATCCGTTTTCTGATCAAAAAGACATTTGTATCGCTCGACGATTTGAGTGTTCATATTTCGCTTCATATGTCATACTTGCTATACAAATGAGGGTTGTTTGAAATGCATTTCATCATTATATCTATTCGCGCAGCTTGGCCTCGTTAAGGGAAAAATATATTCAGTATGTATCTGTATCTGTATTCCGGAACACTTTTTTCGTACTTTTCTGAACGCATCTCATGCATATCTTGTTGCGTAAAAAAAATCTACCTCAGTAGTTGTATTTTGGCCTTAAAATACGCATATCTCAGTATTTCTTATTCCCAGATTCATTTTCGGAGTACTTTTGCCAGGCCCTGCTTAAGAGCTTCACGCTTATACAACTAAACTTTTATTAAACTTGCCATTTCCGCGTAGGCAACTCCTAGCTTCTACTTCACCATCAGAGCCAACCTTCTGAAGAAATCCCTGCTGTCCCAGGACACGAGCCTTCGAATCCTTGCTCTGGCAGGCGAAGAGTGTCCTCCAGCTTGCGTGCTCAAACGCTGGAAGGGCAACGGAAATGCGACGCAGATGTTTAACTTGTACGGCATCACCGAGGTGTCGTGTTTTGCCACCTGCCAAAAAATTGATCTCGGAGCAAATGGGTATGTAAGCACTCTTTTCCTGGACGATTCCTCAGCAGCGCTTTAGCAGGTTTATATAGAACGGTCTCGTACGTGACGTACAATTAGGGATGCAAAATCTCTGAAAAATTTGAAGGTAGAAAAAAATTAACGAAAAAAATTAGGATTTATTTCTCTTAGATATTGGAAACCCTAAAAAATTCGTTTCACCAGGAGTAATTCAGGAAACCTTTGAAGGATACCGACATAGATCAGCAACGGCAATGATTTTTGTGAAGTGTTAGACTGTAGTACTATTACCTTATATTACGTTTTGAAAGTTGACGAGAGCTTTGTAAATTTAGCAGATTTTTCACTACGCATCGGGCGATAGAAATAAACTCTTCATCATATTAAATGCCGCATTGGGTTTACTGCAATAGTTAACTAGCAGCCACCATTCGTCCATTATAATGTTATATTATGCAAAAGTATGTACATGTGGTGGTGCAGAAGCGGAGGCACAGTTGCGTGTTGAGGCCCAGTCACACAGTTGCGCTCAACTCCGACCTTCTAAAACAAAGCCGGTGTGCAAGTATCTTGTGGCGGCTTCGCATTGGCTGCGCTGCTTTGGAGCCGGTGGTAAGCCGTCAGGAATGGCTCAAAAAACGCTTTTGAGACTATCCAGTTGTAAGCTGTCGAAAGCGTGTGAACAGCCCGTGCATTTTGGTAACTAAGTACTTGTAAGTGGATTACCCAAAAAATATGCGAACGGTGACACGAAAGAAATGTGCTTCTTCACATGCGTGCACACACACACGAACAAACCTCAGGCAGCACTAAACTATCACTCTTCTGCTTTAAAGCTTTCGAAACTCATTTTGAGATATTTTAACATTAATAGCCATACTGCAGCAGATTTTATACCGCACAACAGAACAATGCTCATATGGTGTGTGCTTTTAGGGGCAACGCAAACAGCTTGACGACGGATAGAGGCAGCAGGCAACGATAAGCGCTCGCCTTTTTGCCTAGTCTCTTCCTTGCTCCGTTATACACTGACAAATCAAATGTGGTTAGGTGCGTTTAATCCTCCATCTAAACGGCCGACAGTGCCATGTCATAAAGTGATTTTTTTTTTTAATTTGACGTTGCCATTAATGTTAATTTTACCGTATGTTGCAGATGTTTCCTTTGCTTGTCGATAATTCACTTCGTAAGTGTGGCGTCACCGCTCCAAAGAAACCGTTTTTAGGGGTGTTGTTATGGGCGAATACATGGGACTAGATTTCACAACGAAAGAATGATCCTCAAAAATCGGGCATGAAATTTAAATAACTAAATACAATAGATATAGAAAGCCTAGGTTTCACACTTACCACGACAGAAGTTTGCTAAGAATAGGCTGTTCCTAAAATGTTTGCGACAGCAACTTCCGGTCTTCGAGACTTTACGAGGTGCGTGTAGCAGACGACGAACGCATGACGATGGTACAAGGAATGTCTGAAGTTTTCTGTCTCCAACAGTTGAAATCGCATGCACAATGATCCGATTTTGATTTAGTAATTGTATGGAACATAGGAGGCTAAAGAAAACTCAGCAGGTTTATAAAAACGATTTGTAAGTGAGTGCGATGCGATACTGACTAGGACAAATCATCACATGCACGCAGATCTGCTAAAACTACGGCAGGAAAAAGCATATGCTTAGAGCATGACATCAAAGCAGCGTCGGGCCCTCTTTTTTATTTTGCAGTTGACAAGCGTTGTAATGAAGGAGCAGTTGTTTCGACTCTAACATGAGCGTTCGAGATCCTGAACTTGGTTTTTTTCTGGCTCGCATTATGGGTGCGTGTTGTGTACCTTTTTATAGGCATCGCACTGATAAAAGATCCTACTGATTCATCAGTTTTAAGTAAGACCCCCAATAGCGAAGAAGCTGGATAATAACGTCGAGCAAGTTAGATTTCCGCGCGCATGTGTGAGAAGGGACGCTTCTCCTTGCATCTAAAATATCGTGTTTCCTCCTACCCCGAGTGTAAAAGATAAGAAGGCCAGAATGGACCTCGTCTAGTCAGTCGCCAAAATTTCAGGTCGAATTTTCGAGATACCGAGTGCACTGCATAACAAGTGGTCAGCTCGACTCCTTATTCTCGAAAGGCTTTAGGTCTCCCCACTAATTGTTCGAATCAGAGTTCGACGTTCCGGCGTCCTTGCACGCGGCCCAATCCTCCTCTCCCTCAGCTTCTCGACGCGAAGACTTGCAGCTCTCACGCTTTCAGCAGCGCTTCTCGCGAGCGAAATTGAATATTTTTAGGTCGCTTCGTATAAGACTTGTGTGTGCGCAGCAAAGATGAGGACGGAGTGGAGACAGGACGCAAACGAGGAGCAGATTGCGCGTTCGTACGCTCCCTCGCGTACGGAAAGGCGCCATCAAAAAAAACATGAACATGGCAGCTAAAAGGAATGCATTCTTAGCGTTTAAAGATAAACATTTCGACGGAACTCCGCCTGGTTAGGTAAGTAATAAGACAGGGTGCTTTGTAGACTCTAACCAATATCTTCGATGTGCCCGACGTTTCAAAGCCAGCTCGGCTGCTTGATCACGGGCCCAAAGGTAGCAATCTCTCATTGTTTTCTTCTTCTCTCTCTTAGCATTGTTTCGTTCTTCGGTTTTTGTGTGTGGTGCATCTTAGCCCGTGGATATAGCTGCTTGGCATCGTTCCGGTGGATCGGTTCGGACTGTGGTTAGTACTTTGTATGTGCCAAGATTCTAATAAGAGACGCTTTCTCCAGTTTCTTTCTCTATCGAGGATGGAACTGCCGTCAAAGCCGATTACGTGACCAGTCTTCTGAGCATGTTCCGCCAGCGCGTTGTCTTGGATATCTCTTAGATGCGGAGCATCTCTTGCTCGGGTCTATGTCCCGCGGCGTCGCAGTCCGCACTCACACTACGCATGCCCAACTCTCCTTCTTCGCTCTCTCCAACAGCTGCGCGTTACTCTCTCCGCTTTCTCTCTCTACCAGCTGCGTGCACTTCGCGTGCGTTCGCTTCTACTCACACCGTGCGCGCATACGCAACTCTCCCCCTCTATAGGAGGAGAGTTGCGCATGCGCGCGCGGTGTGAGTAGAAGCGAACGCACGCTTGAACGCTTGAAGGAGAGGAGACTATAGTCTCCTCTCCTTCAAGTGTGAATATAAGCAGCGGCAGCGCGCTGCGCGCGTTCAGTTCACCGCTGTTGACTCCACTCCACTCCATTCCGATGAAGTGTGATGGAAGCAACCGTCCCGTCAGTTAGTGGGTTGGCGCAAGCAAGCGTCAGCACCACCCCGCAAACTAACAGCAACGCTACGTCCACTGAAGACAAAGCTGCGCAGAGAAGGGCACGCGACGCTGAGCGCAAACGCTTGAAGCGAGCGGCAGACCCTGAACTACGGCAACGAGAAGCGGCATCCATTCGTCAACGTCGAGCGGCGGATGCTGAACTACGACAATGTCTAGCAGCGGTGGTTCGAGAACGTCGAGCAGCAGAACCTGAGGTTCGGGACCGTGAAGTTCAACTTAAACGTACGAAGCGAGCGGCGGAACCCGACCTTCGAGAACGGGAAGCCGCGTTGGTTCGTGAACGTCGAGCAGCAGAACCTGAGGTTCGGGACCGTGAAGTTCAACAACGATACTAACACCGTTAATAACACCGTTAATAACGATCCGCGATGCTCCGCATCACCCCATAGTTCCCCTCGGGAAGATGGTGTAATTTTTTTCTTTACGTCATACTTATGTCTGCGCAGACGTTCGGGAAATTTCATCGGGAAAGCTCAGAAGGCTGGCCACGTCATCAGCTTTGAACAGCAGTTCCATCCTCGATAGAGAAAGAAATTGGAGAAAACGTCTCTTATTGGAATCTTGGCACATACAAAGTACTAACCACAATCTGAACCGATCCACCGGAACGCTGCTAAGCAGCTATATCCACAGGCTAAGATGCGCCACACACAAATCAGAAGAAAGCAATGCTAAGAGAGAGAAGACAAAAGCAACGACAGATTGCTACCTTTGGGCCCACATACAGTCACCCGTGATCAAGGTGCCGAGCCGGCTTCGAAACGTCGGGCACATTGAAGATATTGGTTAGTGTCTACAAAGTACCCTGCTTAGCGTTTCGATACAACATTAGAACGCATTTTTTGTTTATTTTATTTTCATTTCCTTTTACGCTCATGAACAGACGCTGACAGACTCTAGTATTCGAACAGAACATGGCTCGTGCATAATCGGACGCTACAACGCCACCATTATAAAGGCGTCTTGCAGACGTCGAAGCCAAGATTACATGGTCACGCCATTTGGACGCGCTCGCACCCACTGTCCGAGTGCAACAAGCCTACTGAGAGAGTGCTCGCTCTATTCACAGCGCTGTCCCCCTCGGCAATCCGTTAGCTGGAACCGTACTCGAACTGCGGAAGCATTCAGGGGAAGTCATTGAAGAAGGGGTAGGCACGCTTTTCCTCGGTAAGTGTGCCACCATCGTACAAGTTGAAATATAATTCCCAAACGCTAAAAACCGCTTTTTTTTTTCTTTTTTTTAAGGGCAACGACAGTCAACATGCATAGCTGTGTTCGGGGGCAACTTTTCCTGGCAGTGAATTAAATGCTAGGAGCCATTCGTGCCCTCTCCCTTTTTTAACGCTGATTGAAACTGTGAGCACCAATCCTCACCTTGGGAACGTCAATAAACGTTGTCTCCGAGTATAGGCTCATTTTTGAGTGAAAGAACGTGGCGTCTTCGAGTTTATTCTTCTGCTATAATACGATCTATATATATGCCGAAATTGTTTTTTTACAGTACTTGCATCGTCATGCCGGTCGGTGCAATTAAGAATGTAGGGACTTGTTGAAATCAGGCGTTTAAAGAGAAAAAAAACACAAAAGAACAAAAACAATGGGTTCAATAAACGATATTTTAACTTTGCCAGGTGAAAAACTCAGCTTGAATTATTTACATTCAGAAAAAAACTTGAAGCTAGTGGAGGTTAATATGAACAATTTTCCATCGAATATCGTTCGTAGTGTGAGTCATTCATTATAATGAGAAATACAAATAATATTTTCCCAGTTCGTCCACGAAAATATTGTAATAACGGAGTACGATATTTACGTGGTCCGTATTAAAGTGGCATGACTGTATTACGTTTGGTTTACACCGTCTTGTCTTTCAAACAATGAAGTTGAGCATTGATATAACTTTAGGCCCATTTACTGTTAACTGCCTTCGGCAATAAATTCAACTCCGAAAATTATTCCAGCGATCGTACGTTCGCTTCCTCATAGATATTATTTATCGTATTCAACTTGAACCCTTCACTATTCACTAGGGATAGTTCAAACAAAGCACAAAAGGCGGTCCAAGTTTGTACTAAGACGATTAAAGGAACCTCTTAGATAATACTGCCGACAGATGTTTCTCGGAGATACTTGGTTTCTAAATGTTTCTGGCAAAACATCGGTTCCAGTCTTCCCGCAGGTCATTCTAAGTTTCGCACGAGGTAGGCCAATGGGCCTTTCCCAGGGTTATCTGTGGCCATGTGTACTGTTCTTTTTTTTCTTTTTTGCGGTCGTTTATGCGCGTGCGTGGTAGTGTAAAACGCGTTGCCCGCCATTTTGAATGGCGGTTACGGGACGGTATCAGCAGTCAATAACAGCATGGAGCCGAGGACACCCAAGTGTTTTAACTGCAACACGCCGCAATTATGTTCCGTCTTCTTTTGCAACGGTGTCACAGACGTAATAGCTATTACGGGCTGCAATAGCATAAAAAATACCAGGACGACAGAGCTGCTGTTGCTGTCGATAATGTTTCAGCAACTTTCCCAAGTCTTCATTTAAACAAACGTCCCGTTATAGGTTTTTAGAAGGCCACCAATCACGCTTTTTGATTAGCCGGTAGATGGCGCTGACCATTTGCGAGGAGGCTGACTACCTCAGGAACCTGAAAAACCGTCAATCAAAACGTTTTAAATAAGTAAAGCAGCTTACTTAAAAAAATGAGATGAATGGTGACTAAAATTAAGGGGCGGATAACGTTTAAAAATGATTAAACTCACTTAGACATCATTTAATCTGGAGCTTGAAAATACTATTTGGCTGGGTGGCGCAAGTCACCGCCCGATAGAAAGGGTGCATTCATCCAGTCATCTATCTAAAGGAGCAGTTCGTTCAGTTATTTGGGACTCGATATTCCAGGTGGAACCGACCGCCGGTGTCTCGTGGGCAACGAGACGTGGCAAGACGTCGACCCGGTACTCCTTCGAGACTCTGGCGATCGAGTGAAAAAATGCGGGAACGTCTTCACGTTCCTTAATAGGAACGACTCCAGTTTCCAGTACAATGGCCGAAAGGTGCGCGGTGATCCCGCGACAGCCATCCTGCTCCGCTCGCCTTCCGTCGAAACCTGTCGAACCCACTTCTCGAAGGGAGAAAGGATGCTGTACATCTTTGTCACGCTGTCGCCCGGTTGCGTTGCCGAAGACGCCCTGCCCTCCCTGACCAAGAGCATCGAGACGGAGTGCCTCTGCCCGTTCGAAATCGTGGTGTTCAGCTCGTTGCCGCTGACGAGACACGGTGAGCTCTTTGCGCTGTCCGCAGTGGCGTAAAAAGGGGACCTCCCTCCGTGGCCCATGGAAAGTTTCTACTTTCTTTCTTCGAACTTTTTAGCAGCTTTCATGCTGCTACTACATCACACAAGAGACACTCTGCAGACTCTGTCTGATACTTTCCTCGTATGGTGGTTTCGTCACAATGGGGATATAAAAAAAACTGTCTTGTTCGAAGCATAATGTATAAAGCAAAGAAGCTCCGAACCATTCTGTCATCAGTGAACACCGTGTTTTTTACAGGATGTATGAGCACTGTGATCGTGGCTTTATCATTATTGTTTCTCTCTAATAGAGAGGAAGAGAAAAGAAACAAAGCAGACGGATATCTTGTCTATGGTACCTGGAACGCGCCTTGGACCGATGAGTTTAGCTTTTTATACCTCCCGCCCATAGGTCCGGAAGTGGTCCCTGAGAGGCAACAAATGACGTCACGGAAGCCGGCCCGTTGCACTGTCAGCGGTCGCGATCCTGGCGGTTGGTCGTAGAATTGTTGGCGAGAAGCAAGATCGAACGCGAACGTAGCTGTCGTCGCGGCGTCCCGACTTCTGGCTCCCGAAGCTTCCCTGGTCTGTCAGGCTGGAGGGCGACTTGCACCGTAGCAGGCGTCTGTCGCATCCACCACCGCTGTTGGGACGCCGCGAGGATCGCGGCCCTCGACAACATGCACTTTCATGACGTCATCGGGCATAAATCGAGGGACCACTTTTTCTTTTTTTTTATACGCGGTATACACACCAGCCGAAGACGCGCGTTCCAGGCACCATATCCCATAACTAAGCATCTCCTCTTCGCCAACGATTCAAGGACACTGCTATTCTGTGTACTGCATTAAGTAAACATATTCAAACAGAAGACGTAGTACACTAGCGAAATTAAGATTTCAACAACAACAAAAAACACGAGTTTACGCAAAGATGGTTGGGGGTAAAATGGGAGTAGTAAAAGCTAGAAATACAAAGAATATATTCCGGTTATTCTTGTATAGCAACAACCTCTGCGTCCTCTGTAGAATATTTCGAATCGCATTTGAATGCCCTATCTTGTTCTTGTGTTATGCGTTCAGTGTTCAGATACATTTGCTTGAATACGTAGACACTTTAAAATTCATATTATTCGTGAATTGAAAAAAAAGAATTATGACACAAATATATGAGACGTTTAGAACTCTTAAAATAGGAAATAGTTTGCATGTTTGCAGTAATTCCAACCGACATGCCTGAAACTTTATCACTGTAATTTCCTGTAATTTGCACTACACCAATACATTTCTTTTTGAAAGTAAGGGTTTCGCGTGGCACTACGTGCTGCCCCTCAACGTCACGCCTTGAGTAACGTCATGATTAACCGGCGCCTGGTCGTATTCGGCCATTTTTGTCAAAAACAAACAAATCCGACGTTGGTGCTTGGACACTGTAATGCCGGTCTACCTTTGAGGTATGGCGACACTGGTTTACGCTGTTGATAGGAAATACAGCCACGGCAGTACGACTGCTCGTCTTTAATGTGCATCATGCATTAGTGATGCAAATCTAGATCATAATATTTTGTCAAGCCCGTGTATCACGCTCATCGGGCGTACTATAGGTTTGCTGAAAGGTCTGTTTGACATGGTTAAACAAAACGATGGCTGTTGTCATACCCTTCTTATCAGCGGTAGCTCGCGCCACCTAGCCTGAGAGCATTCGTACCCCTTCCAACGGGTGTTTGGTGTTTACATTCCTGGTGCGAGTAGTGTCTTAACTATAGTCCTACTCGCTTCATAAAGCCGAGATTTGAACTCGCGCGGCATTTTTAAGCGATGACGTGTTGTGGCATTGAAACCGCTTTTTGTTCGTTTATCTACAGGTAAACTCGACCTTAAGGCGCTGCTCAAAACAACTTCAGAGAAGATGAATCATGCTGCTGCATATAATCGGCTTCTGTCTACCCTGTGGAAGGTAATAAATAGTTCCATATAAGTAAATAAACAAATATATAAATAAATGTATGTTTAAAAAACCGTGAAACCTAGACTACTCTGTTTGTGCAGTTTAGTAATGCGGCCACGGTACATAAAGTAGGGGAATAAATGTCACGATAAGTCGGCTGATTATTTTGTTTATTAACGTTTTATTCAGATAAAATAAATAATATTCTGCCAAGTATGTTCTTGCTGGAACATCATGAAAACCGCTAAAGTGTAAATTGTAAAGAGACTGTGGGAGGCGATGCGTTAAAGTTAGCACACGTGCAATAGGTAAAGAAAAGTCATACGGGTACGTTTCCCCACCAGCAACCTTGAGCATGTTGCACGATGGTAACGTTTTTGCGCCACCGTTCTTCCCACGCGCTCGAGATGTTCCTAAATTGGACTGATATAGCGCTCTTTGATCATGCTTTGCAAGTTTATAACTAGGGCTTTATATTTATTCTTACTGATAAGAATATATTTAGAAAAATATGAGTAATATAACACACTTATCTGAACGATTAGTTCCCCATAACATGTCCGCCTCACCATATAACTAGCCAGCATAAACCGTATTATCGTAGTTTTCATAACTTTATTTTAAACAATCTGTGAATCCCCAGAATATACCCTCTGTCAAAAAGCAGGTATAATAAAGCCCATCTTGCGTATTGAGTCGAGTGTTTCGCTTGCAGGGTAGTTTTTTTTTTTTTGACAAAAACGTGTATATTTTAGGTTCCGTGAATAGTTACTTTTCCGCCAACTACATTTTCACTGGAACTTCAGTCGGTATTTTATTTTTATGGATTTAACAGTACTCAAAATACGCTTTCCACATTTCTAAGGTGTGGACCGGAGGCCAGATTCACGAATAGGGTCTTAGCTTAAGACAACTAAGCTAAGAAGTTCGTAAGTTAAGAACTTCTTAAGAAAGGAAGAAATCGGTATTCACGAACGCGTTCTGATGTGACAGGAGGAATTAGCGATGTCATCGTACGGAAAAACTAGAACTTCCGGTGTCCCGCAAGCTCCCGATCCCCACGAGAGCGGACTGTTGCTATGGCGACGGCGTCTTCGGCAACACAAACAACCAATCGTCGAGACCGGCATGGTTCGAAGCACGTGGATATTTGATCAAAAACGCTGGTGGTAGTAGTAGTAGAAAACATGTACCAACACGGACACCTGTCAATCAAAGCCCCCAAGGGGGCGGGGCAAGCCCCGACCAATCAAAGAGCCGCAGGGTGGGGCCTCTTCCCTCTCTCCCATCCCAGGACCAATGACAGGGCATGGGCGTTGGCCAGTGAACAATCGGAGCTCGCCCGGGTCCCGCCCCCCGAGGTACGCGTGTGACCTCAAACCTGAGACCCCAAACCGCAAACCTCAAACCTCAAACCACAAGCGTGGTTGATCAGGTGTTGACAGCTGTGGTCATCATCTGGTAACAACCACCTCAGACCTCAAACCACAAGCGTGGTTGACCAGGTGTTGACAGCTGCGGTCATCATCTGATAACAACCACGTAATGTCACAGGGTCCGAGCTTCATTCGACAGAGGCGTTACACGACTTGAATTGCGGCGATCAGGGCGTCTCATGTGTGATGTCACAGGGTTCGAGCTGCGTCCGACAGAGGGCGCTCACGTGATGTCGCACAGGGTTTGTTCTCCATCCGAACGAGGGCGCTGCGCTCCGGTCACAGGACGGTCACGTGTTTTGAATTTGAATCGCTGGGCGATAAATGCCCCTTTTATTCGATAAAAAAGGCTCCGCGGCCGGCTGGGAATCGAACTCGCTACTTCGTGCACAGCTGGCCGACACTCTACCCCTTGAGCTATGAGCACATTTTTTTTTTCTTTTTGCAAACGCAACAAGTTTATTTACATGTTATTTACAGACATCCTTGCAGTAGGTTCCGCAAACATTATACAAGGCCAAATTGAAAAATAATTCAGAAAACGACAGGAGGATAGCTCGTATAGAAACGTTATACAAACTTTAGAGACGAATGAGAAAACAGATACTCTGAAATCAAAAAAAAAAATAATAATACACTATTGCCGTGGCGCTAAATAGCTGTCACACAAACCTGAAGTGCTTAGACCAGACTGGGCGGATACGATTGAGAGGAGACGCAAACGATGTAGTAACAGACCGCGTCAGCGGTTATGCAATCTGTACGAAAAAAATCAATAAATCGAACAATATAGACGCCCATTCCAAGGGGGAAGAGCCACGGCCCACTTTAGCGCACCGCGCACCTCAGCCAACGCCAAAGCATACTGCTTCCGAGACCGCTTAAGTCGGCTTAGTTATTCGTGTGTGTGTGTGTGTGCAATCCAGATCACGTGATGTCCGGCGCGCCACTTGGCTTTTGTAATGCGGTTAAAAAACCGGATGCGTCATTGCCGCAGGTCATGTGACCATGGTCGTATGACGTTGCTCGTCTTCCTATCACGTGATTTCGCGCTCGCGCGATTCAAACGATGCTCGCGGACTCGTCACCTCGGGAATGGTTTCGTAATCTGGGTGAAAAAAAAAACCCTCCACGGAATTTGAACGCGTCATTGCTCCAGGTCATGTGACGAAGCCTATCTACAGTTCCGTCATGCAGGAACAAGTCTAGACAGGGTTTGATATATCTCGAGAGCTCGGAATGTTATTTTCTCTTTTTTCATATGCAAATGAAATACATTGTTTTGCCGCTCCGCTCGTTCGCTTTTGTTTATTCAGCTGTCGCACTAGGGCTGGGAACGTCGGTTATGCGCCGGAGACCCCACAGGATATGAATGCGTCAATGCCGCAATTCATGTGACGAAGGTCGTGTGACGTAATATTATTTGCATCGCTGGGCACTAACGTTGCTCGTCTTCCTATCATGTGATTTCGCGCGCGCTCGATTCAAACGATGCTCGCAAACTCGTAGCCTTGTGGCGCCCCCTTCGCTGTTGCATTTGGGATATTCGACCCGCTGAATTTCGGCGTCATGTGACGGTCCCAAATAGCAGCAGCTGGGTCCCGCTAAATTGGGGTTCATGTGAATGTAAAATTTTGAAGCTCGCGGACCGTGATTTATGTTGATCCTGCGTAAAGCTTTAAAGTTGCCCTGTTAAAATTTGGGGCAAGCTCGTAAAACTTTGCAAAGACCCAGCGAATTTCGGGAATAGGCGCCATCTAATGTTCAAATTGTGAAGTGGTCCTCTTCAAAATTGGGTGCCATCTGGTGGTAAAAGCTTCGACCCGCTATAAACTTTGGACGTCATGTGACGGTCTAATTAGCATCAGCTGGGTGTCACTAAATTCGGGGTGAGGGGACGGTAAAACTTTGAAGCTGGCGGACCGTGTTAAATCTTGGTTCAAAGTAAAGCTTCGAAGTGGACCTGCGTAATTTTGGGGCAAAGTCTTGAAGCTCACAGACTGCGCTGGACCCAGTGATTTGTTTTTGAATAGACACCATCTAGGGTTAGAACTTTGAAGTACTCATCGCTGAAATCGCTGACATCTGGTGGTAAAAGGTTCGACCCGCTAAATTTGGGCGTCATTTGAAGATTTTCTTAGCACCAGCTGAATATCGATAAATTTTGGCTGGGGTGACGCTAAAACATTGAAGTTCACAGGCCGTGCTACATCTTGGCTCAGCGTAAAGCATTCAAGTGGCCCTGCTAAATATTGGGTCTCAGCGTAAACTTTTGATAGCTCACAGACCGTGCTGGATCCCAGTGAATCTTGGGATAGGCGTCATTTAGTGTTAGGACTTTGAAGTGCTCATCGCTAAAATTGCTCACATCTAGTGTTAAAAGCTACGACCCGCTAAATTCGGGCGTGACATCACGGGTCCTTAGAACACCTGGTCAGCTGTATCCACTTAATTTTGAGGGGTGACGGCAAAACTTCGAAGCTCACGAACCGTGCTAAGCTGAGAAACAGCGTAAAGTTTTGAAGTGGCACCGCCATATTTGGGGGGCTGGCCCCAGCGCGTAAAACTGTGAAGTGGCCCTGATGAAATTTCGGGCCCAGCGCGTAAAACTTTGCACAGTCCCAGCCAATTGTGGTGTATCCGACACCTAGCGTTAAAACTTTGAACTGGTCGAAGAGTATTTTAAACTTCAATAAGATGAAGATAGCATTTCCTCTTCTCGATTTTGCGCGAACACAGTTTAAATCTGGGATTTAGGCGTATGAGTTGTCACCTCAGTCCATAGATGGTGCGCGTTTTTGTTGCTAAGCGTCTATGTTGTTAGGGCATGAGTGATGTCTGGCGGCGTGGGTGTGACCTTGCGACATCTTTTGCTGAAAAGTTAAATTGCTCGTGTTGCTAAGGCGTGCTCATCCGTATTTTCGCGCGCGCGCAATTCAAGTCCGGGCTTTGTGCGTGTGAGTTGCCGATTCCGTTTGTAGATGGCGCGCACCTGAGTCCCTTGGCTGGCGTGACCTTTTACCTTTATCACGCGAAATGACTCCCTAATTTTAGCGCCAGATTGGTAGATGGCGTCAACTCTATCGCGCGCGCGACATCTCTCGCTAATTTAGCGTCATCTGTCTGCTGAACGGAGCAGTGTGGGAAATGGAACGGAGCGTGGCCGCATCCATACGCTAAAAATGAGACAGATATGGTGTTTCAATTTTTTTTTATTCCCATACGCTCTAAAGACAGTTACACGTCTAAACACAGATACGGCGCTTAATTTTTTTCACTCTACGGAAAAAAGACGTGATTGGAAACACTTTACACAAAAATGCACAGCACAAGCAGTTTCAAGACACATCCGAGGCAAAAAAGTTGTGAAATGATATCTCACGAGCAACGCGCGATACAATCCTCGCATTGCAGATAACTCCTTGACTATATCGCTCACAAATATTTTACAATAAAATGGACCACGAAACAAACAAAACATGAATCCTCTACATCTCGAAGACGAAGCAATGAAACACCTCTTACCTATTTCTTGTGAGAAACGAGGCGAATTCGCAAGTTTCCACCCGTCCT